TTGTGTCCCTCAAGCTGCTCGTGGAGCTTCACACTCCTCCTCCTTCATGGATGGCTTTAGGGATGGCTTTGGAGGTGACTTCATGGATGGCAGTTGTGTTGAAAGAGGGATTCCCACCATAAAAACTTTCCAGGTTGCATAATTAATTCCCTTCTCTCCAGGTTGTGTTTTCAAGGTGGAATTGTTTTGTGTTCTTCCATGTTTTTGCTGGGATTTCCTGCAGCTGCTGAACCAGAGGAGCGCAGTCCTTAGAAAACACATTTTTTGGTCTCCAGAACATTACAGGTGCTCAGAGAGCATGAATGACCCAGCTCAGCTGCTGGAAAACTCCTCCCATTGCTACCTGTCCCCTCTGGGATAAAGCCACCTTTTTAACCTTCTAAACCTCAGAATATTTTGATATTTCCTCCCTTCTATTCAGTCTTTGGAATAATGAGTGACTCACTGATGGCCCTGGTCAGTGGTGCCACTGTGGGGTGGGGGGTGGGTGAGCCCCTCCCTGGGAAACCAACTGCAGGGATTTCCCCCGGGAGCAGCGAGGCTGGGATGAGGATTTAGGGGATGAGGATTCCATGAAGAAAGTGGATTTATCCACCATGTTTTCACTGTTGGAGCCTGACCACACAGCCTTGGGACTGGGCACCTCTCCAGGGCTCTGGGGGCCCGGGGTGGGCCTTGGTGGGTGCTGTGAGCCTGCAGGAGGAGACCACCCTCCTCCAGGGTTTCTCCCCCATGTCTTTATTTTCCAACCCCCATTTCCCAGCCGACCCCAAGCAAACGGGGAGGTTGTGCCTGTTGGCCCTTGGCCAGGGGCCGTTTCTGTGAAGCCCAGGCCGTGTGTTAGAGCTGATAAAAATCCATGTGGGGGCTGAGTCATCCTTGAATCTGGCACCAGCTCAGGAGGGTGTGCAGGACTCTGGGAGATGCCAACTTGGATGGTTCCTGCACCATCCACCCCAGGTGGTTGCCAGCACCTTTCCAGGGTGCCCAGGGGCTGCAGCCCACCCTGCCTGGCAGTGAGGCTTGGCTTGGTGCTGCTCCCTCAACACCTCACCCAGGGCTAAAATGCTGTAAAAATGAAGAATACAAGTGGAACATTCAAGATCCAGGAGGATTTGGGGCTTATTGATGGTGGTCAGCCAGGGAGTCAGTGTTTGTGTGTCATTTATGTCCATGACAGTGACACAAACTGCTCTGAGCAGCAGCAAAGCACAGAGTCACAGGATGGGTTGGGTGGGAAGAACCTTAAAGCCCATCCAGCTCCACCCTCTGCCATGGTGCTCCAAGGTGCCCAGGGTGCTCCAAGCCCCATCCAACCTGGCCTTGGACACTTCCAGGGGTGGGGTGGGATGGGAATCAGTTCCCACAGAATGGCACTTACCAACCCAAACCATTCCATGATTCTGTGATCATCCAGTTCCTCGTGCTCGTGGTGATTCTGCTGGGTTTGACTGAGGGGAAAACCCCATAAGACCCCACAAACCAAGGTATTTTATGAAACTTATGAAAAATGCTGCTTTCCTTGGCAGCATCTGCCTTCAAAAAACACGGATGAGAATCGAGGGTGACTTACTGGGTTTCCCCGGGCAGCCTTTGCTGACAACATAAACCAGGATGGGAAGTGGGGAGTGGAGCATCATCCAGCCTGGCCTTGGACACTCCCAGGGATGGGGCAGCCACAGCTTCTCTGGGCAACCTGTGCCAGGGCCTCCTCACCCTCACAGGGAACCACAGACTCTTTGATTCCTAAGGAAATTGGTTTCTCTTCCCAGAGGGAAATAGGACCTTTAAAGGCACCAGCTGGAAAATTGCATTTTCCTAATGGCCTTTATCTTGTGGTGGTTGTTTCCATGACATTATTCCCAACCCATGGCTGCTGTGGGGATGCTCCGTGTCTGGTTCAGGGTGATCCCTGTGGCACTGCTGCGCTGTGTGGGCACTGTGGGCACTGAAACCATCTCTCAGCATCTTCCATCCTGGCAGCTCATTCCCAAAAACTGCTGAAGGAGGGAGTCCTAACTCCCAAGGGTGTCCCCGAGGCCACGGTGCCCCCAAACCCTTGGGCACAGGCATGAACTGTAACCCCAACCCTTCACCTCCTGGGCACTCCTGTGCCAGGCAGGACTTTTGTACAAGCAGGAAATGAGCAAAACCCCCCAATTTCCTCTTTTCTCTCCTGCCCAGCCTGTGGGGGCTGCAGCATCCTGCTCATTTTGCAACCAGGGCCAGCCTCCCTCTGCCCGTGAGGTGGGTGCTGGGAGCCTCCCCGGCCCCGGGGAGCAGTGGGGGATGGAATTTTGGGGTGAAGAGGCTGGAACTGGCCCAGGGCCCTTTTCTCCAGCAGATGGAGGCATTGCTTTGCTTCCACCACCCCACAGCCTCCCAGTGCCAGTCCATGCCGGGAAAGCCGGGGCTGGCACGGGAGCAGGGCGGGCACTGAGCCTGGCAGAGGGACACGGTGGGGTCGGGGGGACACAAGGACAGGGGGGCCCCAGCCAGGGGCAAGGGACACCAGGGTGGCCTTGGCCTCGTGGGGACAGTGATGGCAGCTCAGCCAAGGGCTGGGATGGCCTTGAGTGGGGTCAGGCTGGTCCTGGGGCTGGTGGGATGGGAAAGGGGACCAAGGGGGTCACTTCAGGAGTAGAAGAGGAACCACCTCAGAGTCACAGAAACACGGAATAGGCTGAGTTGGAAGGGACTCACAAGGATCATTGAATCCAACTCCTGGTCCTGCACAGGCCCATCCCCAAGAGTCACACCCTGTGCCCCAGAGCATCATCCAAACCCTCCTGGAGCTCTGGCAGC